TGAAATTTCTACTGTTATATAGAAACTTGCCTTTTAATGAAAAGAACAAGGCAGCCCATGGTGTTAAAAGCCATTTGTCCATACCAGCACAAAGATTCCTGACCCAATGTGGTGCCCATGACAGCTTCATGCTTGTAAGTATGGAGAGAATTACTCTTGCAAAGGCATCTCTGGGATTAGAAAAATTGTATTCCTTCTACCCAGAAGTATAAAAGCTGGCCCCATTATAATATTAGTAAAATCAAGGTCTCCACTGATAACTGTTATTTTAAAATCACAATCTACATCTGTATAATGTCATTGATTCTTAAGCAAATGGCAATCAGGAGACATGAGTCTGCCTTCATGTGTTTACATGGGTACAAGGCTGCCCTTCAAAGTCCATATACACAAAGAGAGGCACAGCAGAATTTTCTTGCCTTTGGCATATACAGAAGTTAGTTTATCTGGTTTTCTAATGACTAGAAGTTTATACACCTGGACTTCTCATTTGCAATATTAAAAATCATTGGTGTAAAAACCAGAGTCCAAAATAATGGAAATAACAGCAGTTTGAAATGCTTGGTTTAGCATTATTTATCAGAATACTGTTAACTAATTGTTTTTGTTTTTGGAAATGGGAAGGTAACATGGAAAAAAAGGGACATTTCAAAAATTAAATGTATTTTGTTTGTTTACTAAATGGCACCACTCAACCTTTGTCTCTGCATAAGGTAATAGAACATTTACATTTCCTTTACTTCATTTTGAAGACCTCTTACTTAAAGTCACGTAACATATTTGCCTATTAAACTCTGCAAGGTGGTGTTTGCAAAACAAATTTAAAAAAATATTCCTCTTTACACTCAATGCAATTAAAAATGGTAAAAGAATAAGAGAATGAGAAAAAATTTAATTGCAGTGCTTTAAAGCAAGTTTTCACAAGTGGAACCAACTCTTTATATGCCTACTTTCAGCTAAACCTAACAAATGACAATTTTAAATGGCAAACTTATTTTTTACTATGCAAAATCCATCCTACATTTTCATATCCTGCATTTTATTTTAGTTACATAATAGTTTGTGGTTAATTTTCTAGTTTGATTTATTTAATAATATTAAAATCATTTAATATCTGATAACCTAACTAAATCTACATCTTACAGCATTATCATGGTTTTGCCCAGCTATTTACATGCTCTCATGATCACCTTTTCTATTACCTTATGAACTACATACTAGTTAAATAATCAACATTTATAGATGGATGAATAATTCAAGTTTTGAAATAAAGTTTAGTTAGCTCTAGAAAACATGTATTTACATCCTTCCCTGTTGGGCTGAAACAATTTTATTTTTCTTTTCACTTTGACACTTCAAAAAGCATGTTGATAGCCCCTTGAACTTCATCTAGCAGCAGAACCTCACAGACCTTCTACTGGTTTGTCCTTGGCATCGGGAATATGCACAATCTTCATGTCACGTCCTACTTTTAGAAGGTATTAACACATACATTATAACACTTAGAGCACTATCTCTTCTGTTTCTCAATATACAAATAATCAGTCATTCTTCCTGATCTACTAAAAGAGAATCTCATATTTTTAGTTTGTATATTTTAATAAAATTTGAGTTTGAGGGGCCCCTGGGTGGCTCAGTCAGTTAAGCGTCTGCCTTCAGCTCAGGTCATGATCCCAAGGTCCTGGGATCAAGCCCCACATCGGGCTCCTTGCTCAGCAGGGAGCCTGCTTCTCCCCTGCCTACCACTCCCCGTGCTTGGGCTTGCTCTCTCCTTCTCTCTGTGTGTCAAATAAATAAATAAAATCTTAAAAAAAAAAAAGAAAAATTTGAGTTTGCACTGTTTTTAATTCTATTTCAAGAATATTACTTGAGAAAGAACTCTCACCCTAACCTGTACCACTAAAATTTGGAAAACCAAATCTTACTCAGTAGTCCAACACCTCTTTATGGTGCTGGATGCTTTGTGGTTCTGGGTCTACTCTGATTTAGAGAACACCTTTTCTCATCTAAGAACTAAAGAACAGTTCTTTAAAGAACCATTTAGTTATACAGTTTTTCTTTATCTGTAGATGGGATTCCCCAAGATAGGACACAAAATTTGGCGACTTAAAAAATATAGTCTGTGTAACTTTACTACTAATTTTCCTCAAATTTACTTAATTGGTTCTGCATGTTTGCAGTGATACAACTAGCCTCTGGGACTTGATACTGATGCACTTTGCAGCCTTCGATTGGCATTTTAAAATTTCACTCTACTGGGTTGAATAAGTTATTTTTTGGAACGGATAAAATGTTTTTTTCTTCCTTTCGTACACTTGAAATATATTTTTCCATGGGGACAAAAATAAGAGAGAAATCCTAAAACAATTGAAATAAAAAATGTACTATAGAAATCATTCAAAAGGAACAATAAAATGGTTTTTGTGAAGCATTTTAGGTTCTTTTGGATTATACTTGCAACTAACTAGTTGTTAGTGGTAGATTACCTGACGTGTAAGGGTTTTGTGTTCTTAGAATGAAGGAAACTACATTCATTGAATACATTCTATTACCTTAACAGTAAAAAAATTATTTTTCTTCCCTTCTCAAAATAAGTGATTCTGTTTTCCATATCCCAGAAGAAACCATATGAATATTGTAAATCAGAAGGAAAAAAAATCAAGTTCTACTATCCAACAAGGGTGCTGTAAGTGGTAAGTTGATATAGATTTATCTAGAAAGGGAGGCTTATATCCAAATTCTCACAAGAACTTATGTGAGGTCCCCTTTCTCTGGAGACTCCTCTGAATGGGTGGGAGAGTTTGAAGCTGTGGGCTGTAGCCCCTAAGTCATTCTGTGTCTTCAACCCAGAAAAGTTCATGATTGAACCTCACTAGAAGGGATCTTACAAACCTCTCCCTTGTTCTACTTCACACTTTTAGCTTACCTCATTTCTCATAACTTAGTAAGAAACCAGTCCTGATACCTCCAAGGTTCTTGGCCAAAGACCAACACCTGCTGTTGACTTAATGGTCAAATTAGAACCTAGATAGGCTAATTAGCCAGTGAGGCAATATCCTTCTACCAGTTCATGTTTGGATGATAACACTGAAACTATCCTATTTGTCAGCTTCAGTAATTTGTAGGTTGTTTAATTCATGTTCCAAATGAATTCACAGGAGATCTTTTAACAAACAACAGATTTTATGATGACTGCTCACAAAATAGTCCATAAAATCTTATTCCTTGAACTTAACAGGAAAATTCAAATGTCATTCCAAATAAATTGACTTAAAATCATTAAGTTAGGGGTAATATTGCATTTATGTTGATGTTCTCCACTTACACAGTGCTCTTAGTAGACTTGAAAAAACAAGGGAATTGAATGGATGGATTGATTTACTTTTTCAAAATAGGCAGAAACCTAGATCTCTTTGCATTTTTTTTCTCTTTGTAAACCCTCTGCTTTACCAACAGAGATTTTTATTTTCATTGCTTTCTTTTTGGCAATAGACTTGAATTTGATGCCAAAATTTTAGCATTTGAAAAAAAAATTTAACTCAAATGACTGTCCAAGAAGATTTTCCTAGAAAAGAGAAACTACCTGATTTTCTTGCTCCAGGAGACTCATTCCTACCATTTGTTCCCATTGCTCATCTTAGTAGGTGTTCTTTTAAAATGATACATAAAAAGATGTTTCTAGAACTAGGATGATGTGTTTGAAGAAAGTGTTATTATACAAAGTATCAAAAGATTAGTATGTTGGATATTAAAATAATTACATGAGAAATTTTTCACGTTTATTTACAACTTTTGACCCAAGAACCTACCTATAAACTGCGAACATTTGTGTATTTTTTTATTATACCAATTTATGTGCAAAGAGTTACCTTCTACTTAGTATAAATAGAGTCTCATCCTAGAAATTCCATGGAATCAAGCCAATCCTTACTTGCATTCCTTCACGTGGAGTATATAAACTGGATAACTTTCCTTGCAGAGCAAATGTGATATCACTTGTAGATAATGTGCTGGCCCTCTCACCATAATCTCTGGATACTGTTCCAAAGTCCTAATTTGCTTGGTTTGGCATTTCCACAGTCTTTCCTTATCTTAGCTCTTTTAAAAAATGTACTTAAATTAGTTATTTTGCTGGTTGCTTCCATATTGCTTCATTCAAAATCCAAAATGGAGTTCAGAAAGGGAACAAATAAAATTAGAGCTTAAGTGCAAACTACATTTCTGAGTGTCTGCCAGGTAGACATACCCAATCCAGTGTCTCTTCCAGTTCAATGGCTTCCCCATTGGACCACCCCTGAAAGTGTCAGTAGTTTTCATGAACCACACAGAATTGTCTCTTAGTTTCCCTTTTACTCTTTACGTTACCAACTGCCTATCAAATACTGTCATTTATGGAGAAGAAAATGTTGAAGAATGTAAAGGACGTGGGGTACATAGTCAATAGTGAAAAACATGACAGTTAGATTTGATGTTACACTTGACTAATATCTTGGCCTCCCCGCCTAATTTTAAAGGCTCTATATTTAAAATAATGGTCATTTCACCATATTAAAATATTTTTTTACAATTCTGTCAATTTATAGCAACATGTAAGAAACTCTGATGTAAAAATATTTGCAATCAGAAACTAAAGTCAGAATATGTGGGGATAAAAGTAATATAAAGGGAAAGAGCAAAGCAAAATGAAACAAAATGAAAAGACCAAAAAAAAATCCCTCCAAACATAATTACTAATTATAACTTTGTGAAAGATTAAGAAATTATGAAAGCTGAGTTGGCTGCCGTTGTTTGTTAGGATAGAAACTGTTGGAAAAAGAAACTGTATTTTCAATCTCAGTTACTATCATATGTTACAGAAAAGGTTATCCTTTTGTTCTAATGGAAACTTTATTATGATTTCCAAGGTACTGAGAATGTACACATCAGTTCCTACAGATAGGAACAGATAGCATGGGTCTTTCAGGCATCTGCAGTAAAAAAAAAAAAAAAAAAATAGAAAGAAAGAAAGAAAAAAAGAGAAAACATTGAGAACTAGCTTGACAGCAGGCAGTATTGCCTTGTATTTGCTGGTCCTTTTCTAGCTGTTCCAATCTCCTGACCAACCCATGCAGAGAAATGAAGAAACAGTGTGGTTCCTCCTGTCTTTCTCTTTCAGTTCTTCCTCCTCATGTTCAAGTTAGATAAGCATATGACTATCATTGCATCTCTATAGCTTCCACTGGAAAGTGTCAAAACTACTGGCCTTGGGAATAGAAGGAAGATCATAAGAGAAAGAGAGGCGGCCGGGAAATTGGAGCGGGCGTGTCTCTATCTTAAAGCCACTGCTGAGCTTACACCACAGTATTTCGGTGTCTGTAGGGTGGAGGAGGCAGCACAGTGCCTGGCTTCAGCGAGAACTCAGAGAGGTATTCCGGATTCTCTGCCACAATAGGCCGGATCCGTCCATTTTGTTTATAAAAATATTTTGTGCTGTACTCCTGCAGGTAGTCTGGGTGCTGAAGGGTGCTCCGAGGTGGCAGGCTGTGGTTCCAGTAGTCAGGGTTGTCGAATGCTTTCTTGGCCTTCTCTGGCACAGACAGTACATTGTTCTTCAGGTACTCGGCATTCCCCAGTGCGTTGGCAAAGGTGTTGAGGTACAGTGGCTCATTCACATACTCATCCTCTGCCTTGGGTGGACCATTGGAAGCGTTGTGATATTCGGGATTATCCAAAGCTTGAAGGTCTCCATTTTTCCTCCGAGAAACAAAAGGGTTTTCCTCCACTGGGTTCAGGTATTCTGATGGAATACAAAAGTATCAGTTAATATTTACTTTCCAGAAAATGTTAATCAGACGAAGGTTATACAGGATGGTTCTTTTTCCAGAACAATAAAACCATGGATTTGTTTTCGTGAATTTTCACAAAAACTATTTTGTTGATTACTTTTGTCATATGAAAAAAGAGTAGGTGGGCCAAAACTCTTAATGACTAAACAAGGCAAACACAGGCTGGAAGCAGAGTTCCTGTCCCCTAGATTGTTCCTTTTTCCTTCTAATTCCATTTGTTTCTCCTGCATAGGAGGCCACTTGTTTAAAGGCTTCTGTTTTCTAAAAGTCAGTATTTTTTGTTGTTGGAAAGTACGACAACGGGGTTGAAAATATGGGATTAAATAGCTTTTAAATATGGAGAAATTAGAATTTCTAAAAGGGTACTGGAAAATCAAAATGTCTATAGCTTAACTCCATGCAAGATGAATGGATGAAGTGAAGGAATGGCATTTTTTAGTCTGTGTGTTTTGCTGTGATGTCCATATAGGGTAAAATGGATTTGATTGTAGAATGTTTTCCAGAAAGCTTTACACATTGGAAAGAAAACATCTAAAGAGAAGACTCAACTAATAAAATCTGCTAGACATCTAACATGTCGCTAAATTGACTTGTGTGACAATATATATGCCTAAGAATAAAGTGTAATTAGAACATTTACTTCCACTGGCTAACCATAATCACGAAATAGCAAACTAGTTTGATCTTATGAAATAACTCTTTTGTAGGTTGAAACCAGTCATAATAGTGGCTATTTTGCATGATTTGATCTAATAAATTACTATAGAATATTGACTGGGGAATTTTTTTAAGAGGTGTTAATCAATGCTGCTCTTCTTAAATTCAATTCCACCTCTATGTCTATATGTCTATAGACTACATACAGACCTATATTCACACATACACTAGACCTCTTTTAATGTATACACAGATATGACACTTTAGCTATTCCTATTTTGGTGTTGGGGCAGGGAAAGGGTACAATTGTTTGTTGAGATGCCACCATTCTGAAACAAACTTTCTATCCTCTATACTTAGCCTGACAAGTAGAGAAAAATAATCTCATCAAATCAGGGTGATTTGTCCCTGGATATAGGCCTGCTTGATATACTTAAGTATTTAGCATCATGTGCAATTTAAAGGATAGTAATGACTATCCCATCATCATATATAGGAATGACAGGAGCTTACATCATCCTCACAACAATCCTGTGAGAAAGGAAGTGAAGCTGTATTTTTTTCAGCTTTATACACAGAAAACCGAGATTAAATGATGTATGAGGGATACAACTAGTATTGAACTAGAACTCAGATCTAAAACTCCTACTGAGCCGTCTTTTTGTTCTACTGTACTATTTTCATTATTGTCCCTAAAGGAGTAGGGAGAACTTTTCACTTCATAACATGTTGGAATTTGAATGGTTTTCAAAGTGACAGTCATTTTAAGAAAAACGTATGAAAAAAAAAAAAAGCTTTTAAGGGAGGCAGAATTTGATTTTCCTTACCAGGTTCCTGAAACTTCTTAATTGAAAGTGTAGGAATGTCTATACTAAAATTCTCTACTCTCTGAGAAGTAGGCTGGAGTACAATAATCTTCTGTAGAAACTCACATTCAGGGACAAAATCAAGGTATGCTCTACAGTGAGTCTATATAGGCTGGCTTGTGTTTTCTCTTAGAAGATTCATGTTACCTTTTCTCAATGCAAGCTACTTATCAATTTCCTGATGCAAACTTGCAGCCTTGCAGTTGTAAATGAAGAAACAACTCTATGGTTGAGCTGAGACTCTTTCCAGAGAGTATTGCACTTTCAGGGGGGATCTGCCAAATCTTCTCAAAATCTACATTTGTGTCACTACTGGGCTACTCTCCAATTCTTCCAATGCATCTAATTCTTCAGTACAGTAATACCTTCCTATACTTCTAGATAGATACACCTTAATAGGTTATTTACAATATGTACTTAGGGATCCCTTAACTGCATTTTATAAAATTAAATATAACCATATAGTCAAGAACATAATGGGCCTTCATACGAGTCTTAAAATAAAGTTTACTTGACCCTGAAGACTCTGAGACACAATCATCAGTTTTTAATAACAATCATCCATCTTCTCCTTTCTGTGATGCTGTTAACGTGGAAGGAAAGTGGCTTTTTCAAAATTGAAATGTCATTTGATTTGGATGTCTAACATTTCTACTACTAACTTCGTAAAGTCATCGCTGAGCTTTGTAGAACCACAAACTGAATATTTTCAAGACATGATGGTACACCTTTAAGTAAATGCAGCGTCAGAACTTTAATTTTTGAAATGTGTCATATAAGGAATCATAATCTCCTGTAATGAACAAGATCATCCCAGTGATGCAAAATTTTGAAGAACTTATCAAATCTTTTATTGGTGCCATTAAAATACCAGTCTTTATGATCTCCACAATAAGTTCAATGAAGCCATGTTTCCAAAATCTTGTGATGTGCTACCTCACTCAAATATTCAATAAAGATAGTCCAATAAATATAAGTTTAGATCAGTGCTTCTCAGGCTTGACTGTGCATACAAGTCACATAGGGATCTTGTTAAAATGCAGATTCCTATTCAGGTGGTGCCTGAGATTCGGATTTCTAAAAAGCCCCCAGATGGTGTAAGTGGTGTGGGTTTGGACAATGATGCTACACAGAGCAGCAGCCTAGGCCTTTTCTGGGTCACAAATGTTACATAGTCCAGTGGTTTGGCAATTTCCCTTCTACACTATATTGCTCATTTTGATAGGGAAATGAAATGCCGAATGACAGTCATTTCTGCACATTCTGTTTGTACCTTGTTTAGGTTTATCTCGCATAGGGGTCATGTAACCTTCTTCATCCAGCTCTCCTCGTGGGCTCCGTTCCGGGGCAAACACGGTGGGGTCAGCGCTGTACCTCTGGGTGCTGCTCTCCTCCTGGACGTGGGGTGCCACTGGCTTGCGTAGGGTGCCATTACAACAGGAGTCATCAAAAATCTCGGCTGTAGCCCCCTGAGCAACTGGAGCTTCTGGGATCGTGCTGGTCGTGGCTCTGTAGGGAACAGGCACTCCTTGCTCTGTAGCAAAACCCCCATCTCGGTATACAAACTGGTTCTGTCAACAGAGAGACACATTTAGATGGAAGTTATTATTAGGAATAGCTGTAAAAAGTTAACCAAAAGGTTGTGAAAACTTGTCTTGCAGACAAAAGTCAGTTTCTTAATTGAGTTTTTCCCCTGAATGGCTGACAAGTTTGAGTTACAACCCCCTAAAATTCCAATTTTTCTTACTAAGTGATCCTGGGAAAAGAGTTTGGAAATACATATTTAAATGTTACTGACCACCTAACATAATGACCTAATACAAAATATTTCATGTTATTTTCCCACAGTCACCTATTTTTGATATACAATTCAAATTTCATGACAAATGGAAATGTTATTAATTGTAGGCAGTCGACATTAAGAACAGAAGTACAGTAATGCCATTTGGTTGGTGATATTTCCTTACTGCCTTCTCTTCTGTGGTCACTATGACTTTGAGTCTCCGAGTACCTAACTAGGGAATCATTACCGAGACTCTGACTTTTTAGCACACAACCTATAATCATGGAAATAATGATAACCTCCTCAACCAGAAGCATAATTTATGAGTCCAGGTAATCCTTCAGGTAAAAATCGAAAGCTACTATTGATGCATGGCATCTCAGTTTTGGATTATCTACTGAATGAAATAAAACACATCCACAAAGCCAGCTATACAATCTACAGCAAAGTCTTAACTCACTGTTGGCAAAAGCAAAATGAGGAAACTATGGGGAGACAAGAGAGAAGAAACATGATAAGCAAAGGCCAAAAATACTAAAAGATGAAGGTTGATCATGAAATACTTACTCCTGACATGGGGGTGTAGGCAGGAGGTGGGCTGTGTCCAATTTCACTCTAATAGGAAAGAAAAATGGAATGATGGATATAATAAGAGGTAATATGAATGAAAAGAAAAAAAAAAAAAAGAAAAGAAAAGCCACATGAATTGTATGAACCAAAGGGGAAAACATGCACAACAGTGAAGTTTGCTAAATGGTAAAATTTTATGCACTCTGACTACAAATGAGTTTATTCTTGTGTTTTGAGAATATTAAATATTGTATTAAATATTTTAATTCAATCCCTGAAAAGAAAAATTACATAGGTAAAGTAAAATTTTAAATGGATTAAATATGTAGTTGACAATGAATATTTTTCTCATTAACCCTGGGAGAAAGATAAAAATGGTAAATAATTAATTATAGTTTTAAATAAAGAACCATTTCCTTCCTTACATGTTGTATGGCTAAAATGGCCATATACCACAGCATTGGTTCTCTTTTGTAAAAAGAAACTTATGTGGAAGGAGATAGAAGTGAATTTCAATTTTCCTTGAATAATTTTTACTACCAGGTTACATTTATTTTTCACTATTTCAGCAAAGGGTCAATTTTTTAGCCTTTCCTTTTAAAAAAATACATACTATTTTCTCCTCAGTATGATTTTTTTAAGTTAAGAAACAGAAGAAAATCTTGGAAAATTAATTCCGTTCCTGGAAATATGCTTTGCATATATTACTTTCATGTATTTAGAATCAGTTAAAATTAGATTTCAGTTAAAAAAAAAAAGGCATCTGTATTCTTATAGCTTAATACTCTATCCTATGAGCTAAATAAAAGTGGATATAAAAATATGATAAAATATTAAGGACAATATTCTTAGAGTAAATAGAGGGGGTTATATGAATATCAACACCATTTCTTAATAATATATGTATTTTAAATATATTTCTTGAGAACCTACTATCTATGTGCCAGGCACTTTTCTGGACACTGGAGATAATGAATAATGCAGATAAAAACAGTTGATTTTATGAAGCTTGTCTTCTCTGCACACACGTAGGAAACTTGGCTAAGTTATTCCAGGCCAGTGTTTTTACAATTTAGAGATTCATAAAACAAACTCTAAGGAGAATATGGTTCCATGGGGATTAACTGTTTAATGTAAATTAATAGCAATTGTATAACACAATTTCCCATAATTAACTTAGTCTCCTGGGACTAATAACCCTGGGGCCAAGTTCTGAACTCCTACATTAGGTTTACATTTTAACTCTCCTCAAAACTGAGTCATTTACATGATGGGATAGAAACTATTGATCTCTTTCCTTCTCTAATAACTAAGAACGTCTTGAAGATCATGACATGGAAAATTAGAGATGTATTTAATATGCTACATAGAAGGTAGTATTGTCCAGTAGACACATTGTTTGATGATTTGTTAGATCTCTGAGCTCCAGTCCCAGTTACAAATGATGTTGTCTTTTTTTTTTTTTAAGATTTCATTTATTTATTCATGAGAGACAGAGAGAGAGAGAGAGAGGCAGAGGGAGAAGCAGGCTCCCAGGGAGCAGGGAGCCCGACGCGGGACTCGATCCCAGGACCCTGGGACCATGACCTGAGCCTAAGGCAGACGCTTAACCATCTGAGCCACCCAGGCGCCCCAAATGATGTCGTCAATTGTGAAACATCTCAGATCCCCAGTTTTATCCTGGGCCTCTCACCCCTTATCTTAGTGAAGACAAAGTAAGAAGGCCTATATAAATGAACTTTGTAAGCTCTGCACACTATAAAAATGTGAAGGTTATATAAAATTTAAATATTCACATCTGCTAAATCAAATTATTAAAGTCAAGCAATCAAAATGCCAAAGCTACTCATGAAAGAGGCATTTAAAAATGCTTCTCTGTTCTCCACATCGCCATCAGTATAGGTATATTTTGTTATTTTTTAGAAAGATATGAAATTAAATACATTTTTTTCATAAAATCTGAGGGGAATTTGCTGTATAGTCCAGTGAGATGTAAAATAGAGGGATGGTATGGGAACTATGACAAGTGCCTGGTGGAACTTGATCATATTATAAACCTCGGCCTTACCCTATCATTAAATCCTGATTATTGAGCAAGCATTTAACAAATATTTATTAAACCTCTCCAATGAAAGCACAGGAACTGTGAGATGGTGGAGATACCATGAGACACTAGGAGAGACATGATCACTGGCCTTTTGCAATTTACAATGAACAATCAAGTATTACCTGAGATTATTAGACGAAAAAGCAAGAGTAAGATGAAGCTGCGATGAATTTATTTGAATTCTATGATTACATATTAGAAGACAAGTATTCCAAAATATTAGTAATTACTGCTGTTCCTTTGACCTCTTACTTTACAACAGTTGCTGTGCTGGGTCATGTTTGACTAGAATCACAGCTCAGGAAACGGCACGGATGGCTATAGCTACACATTTTACATTTTATAAAACTTGAGGGAGAAGTGATCAAAGGAATAACTCGCAAGTCATTCTTCATCAGGAAATACTTTATTGTATATATTCATTATCTGGGCTAGACTGCCTTCAATTATAAAAACGTTGTGTTAAAAATAACTGGACCTCTTGAAGAGAGGCCATGCCATATTAGAATGCAGGTGCTCTCCCTGTTTTGACAAGTCTTTCCATCAGCAACCTGCCAAATCTGGATCTGGACATACTGCCAGATACCATCACAGTAATAGGAGTATCTTCATGCTTTTCCTAGTTTTCTGCATTAAAATGGAAAAAAAAATGCTAAGCAAATCCCTTTAGAATTCATTGTTTTTGGGGTTACTGGCTGCTTTTTATTTTTTTGTTTCCTTTTTTTTTGTTTGCTTTTTTTTTTTTTTCCTGTTTTCCATGATAAAAAGCACCTCATTCATTTCCCCCTGGAAGGGCAATGTAGCTACAAGGGAACATCTGTGAGGCCAATTAGCCGGGCTGGAAATGTGATATAATTGTTGTTTAAATATATTTAAATTACATGTTAATCACTATGTCATAATTTATAGGCTTTGAAAATAACTTTTTGTACTTGAGAGCCAAGCCAGATTTTACTTGTTTTTGCTGTTTTTAGTTTGTAACAAGCTCTTCTCATTCCCCGCCCCGCTCCCTCCCCCCACCCCAATTTCCCACACTTGAAGAGCTGAACTCTTAATATCGAAAAGAATGACAGCTGCAAGTAAATTGGTTGAGTAAAAATTAAGATCCCCACAGTCAGAACACGCTGGAGTGACCTTAAAGTTCTGAGCAGAACAAAGCAGTACTCTCAGTTAAAAGGCTTTTGTTGTTTTCATTGTGCCATTTTTCTGCTGTCCATCAAAGCCCAGCTTTGTGGATCTTCAGGAAGTACCCGGTGCATCTGTTCAATTAGCTGGGGAGGGGATTTATGGTCAGCAGGGCAGAGATAGAAAGAGGTGGGTTATAAACTGGCAGGTGATAGGGAATTTGTTTCTGGTGGGGGGATTTGTAAGGGTGATGGAGAGAGTCAAGTTTAATTTCGTGGCCCTTTCAATGGGACACTGTATGATTAACTTGGACTCAGATGCCAGAGGTTATAGAGAAGGCAAATATCAGCAAATATATCAAATATCGTGTTAAATGCACTTTACATATATCATGTTCTGAAGTTTGCATTTCAGTTGAATGATAAAAATATGAAGCTGTCTTATTATATGCAATGTATTTCTCATATCTATTGTTTTAATTAAAACATTATATTATTTAATATTGCTCCTGGGAAATTTTAAATTGTTAACCAGATGGGTTTTGTCTTTTAATATTTTTTTAATATCATACAAATCTATGTTTTTAGGAAACAAAAATACATACTTAATGCCTAAACTGTATCTAAATTAAATATGCACTTAATGAAAGAGAGGTTTTTTATCTTCAGATAATTGTTCCTATCAATATTACCTATAGGATTAAAGTTTCTAGGGTCAAGAAATACTCTAAATCCTTTTAACTAAAACACAATGTATCTCTGTAAGATGTTACTAATCCATCCACACTAATTTATTACCTAAACACATGTAACTATTAAGGGTTCTCAACCTTTTATCCTCCCTGGCATGTATTCTTAACACTCTGATGGGCCTTTTCACATTTTTACATGTCAGGTAGCAGACAGATAAAATGCTTTTGGCATTATGTCCAATTCCTGATGCATGGCTATAACTTACATATTTTTTCACAACCAAGTTCAACATAT